CACATTCCGGCGAGGTCCTGGTGCTGGGTGTGCGTCAGATCCAAGTTCACGGACGACCCGCACTACAAGGCCGGGCACGAGCGCACGGGCGACGAGGTCCAGATCGACTATTACTTCCTGGGCCAGCTGAGCATCCTCAACATGGTGCACATGAACTCCCAAGCTATTCATGGCATCATGGGGCCGAAGGGTACCGACGCCTACATGGTCAAGACAGCGGTCGCCACCATCGAGAACTGGGGGCTGGATCGCATCGTGCTGAAGCACGACCAGGAGGCGTCGATCACGGCCCTGGCGAGGGAGATCAAGGCTCAGCGGAAGGCGCCCACGATGGTCGAGTCAGCTCAGCGGGCTAACCATCAGGGAGTCGGTGGAGTGGAGCGCGCCAACGAGGAGCTCGGCAAGCAGATCAGGGCGCTGCTGTTCTCGGTGGGCGACAACTACAAGCGGGAGCTCCCAGCCGATCATGGGCTTCTACCTTGGCTCATTCGGCACGCTGGCTGGCAGCTCAACCGCTTCACGGTGCACGGCAACGGCAAGACGACCTACGAGGTGCTCAAGGGGAGGCCATATCGGGGCGAGCTCGTCAACTTCGCGGAGTGCGTCTGGGCGAGGGACCCCACGCCGACCTCCAAGCTGCAGCCTCGGTGGCACGCGGCGGTGTGGCTGGGCAAGACAGAGGTTTCGGACGAGCACCTGGTGGCGGGTCCAACGCGCACGACGAGGGTGCGCACGGTGAGACGGCGACCGGAGGGCGAGCGGTTCGTGCTGGAGGAGCTGGACAAGTTCGCTGGGGTGCCGTGGGACATGCGCCGGGCTCCACAGATCGGCATCGTGCCGGCGGGAGCGCCCCAGGTGGAGCCGAATCAGCAGCGGCTGATGCCGCCACCTCCGCCACCGCCAGTGGTCTTACCGGCTGCGGGCCCGGAGGCGCTGGTGCCACCAGCGATGGTCGGGCCGGCGCCGCCCGCGGGGCCAGGAGGCGCAGGGCTGAGGTCGACGTACATCACGAGGGCGTTGATCGACAAGTACGGCTGGACCCCCATGTGCCCGAGGTGCGTCACAGGCATGGGATCGCACAGTGAGGAGTGCCGGAAGAGGATCGAGAACGAGCTGCGCAAGGAGGAGATGGCCAGGGCAGCGGCGGGGGCCGCGCCCTCGTCGGCAGCGGCGGGAGCTGCGCCGACGCCGGCGGCGGCTGGGGCCGCGCCGGAGCCAGCGGCTGGAGCTGGAGACGGCAGGCCAGGATCGTCCGGGGACGCCAGCATGGCACCTCGCGATGACCAGGGCGAGGCGGCGGCGAAGAGGCCGCGCCAGACAGCGGCGATCACAGTCGGGTCGCTCGCGGTCGGGGCCTTCGTGGAGATCAATCCCTACACGTACGAGGGCCTGGACCAGCAGTCCCACGAGGAGCTCGAGACGGTCACGGAAATCGAGAGCTGCGAGCCGCTGGAGATCGGGATGTTCGAGATCAGCCCCGTCGAGCCGGCGGCGATCACGGTCCTGCCAGACACGGAGAAGCACGTGTACGACGCGAGGAGCGGGAAGGAGCTCCCCAGGGACCTGGTCAGGCGCGGGCGCGAGGCCGAGATCGAGGAGATGCGGCGACACGGCGTCTTCGAGGAGGTCCGCGTGGCTGAGAGCCGGGGCAAGGTGGTGCGTTTTAAGTGGGTCGAGGACCTGCGCACCAAGGACGGCACCCCCTTCGTCCGGTCCCGAGGCGTCGCCATGGAGATCAACACGTACGGCCGAGAGGACTGCAACGCGGGCACGCCGCCGATCGCCATCGTCAGGGCGATCGTCTCCTTGGCGGCGACGAAGAAGGGTCGGAGGCATCTCTCGGTGCATGACGTGCACGTGGCGTTCTTCCACGCCGACCTCGACGAGTGGATCGTCGTCATCCCGCCTCCAGGACTTAGGAGAGACGGGTACGTGTGGCAGCTCCGGAAGGCCATGTACGGCACGCGCAAGGCGGCACAGGCTTGGCAGGAGTACGTGGCCGGGGTGTTCAAGAAGAACAACTGGACGCGCATCGCGGTGGCGGCGGGCGTGTACCACGAGTCTCTCTTGGACATGACCTCGGCGATCCACGGTGACGACATCCTGACCGAGGGCGAGGAGGAGTCCCTGGATGTCCTGGACCAGCAGCTGATGGCGAGCATGGACGTCAAGTGCATCGGTCGTGTCGGGCCGGATGGCGTTCGCGAGCTCCCATACCTCAAGCGCAAGATCAGGTGGACGGGCAAGGGGTTCGTCTGGATCGGCGACACGAAGCACGTGACGAGGTGCGTGGAGCTGCTGGGCCTTACGGAGTGCAAGCCGGCGGACACGCCTGGGAGCAAGGCCACGGGCAAGAGCGTCCGGGAGGCGCTGGATCCACTTCCACACGACGAGGCGAAGCTCTACCAGCAGGTCGCGGGGCTCGTCAACTACGTGGCGGTAGACAGGCCGGACATCCAGTTCGCGGTGAAGGTGATCCTCACGGACATGGGGAAGCCCACAGTCATCAGCATGCTCCGGCTGAGGCGGTGCGTGCGGTATCTCCACGGTCGGCGCGAGCTCGGGTGGTTCTACGAGGAGCAGGAGATGCCCAAGGCGGTTCTCTACGAGACGGACTCGGACTGGGCAGAGGATGAGATCACGAGGAAATCGACCAGCTCCGTGTACGGCTTCTTCGGCAGCCACCTTCTGGAGACCCAGGTGGCATCGCAGCCCGTCGTCGCGCTCAGCAGCGGGGAGGCCGAGTTCTACGCCATCGGCCGAGGCGCGGCGAGTGCGATCATGATGCGGCAGTTCTACCAGCAGTGTGGCATCGAGGTCGCGTCGAAGGTTCACAGCGACTCGAATGCAGGCAGGGCGATCGCGACGCGGATCGGCAGTGGCAAGGTACGGCATCTACAGATACGAGATCTGTGGGTGCAGGAACGAGTCAGGCTCGGCGAGTTGCAGCTCGGGCGAGTCGACACGGAGAGCAACAGGAGCGACTTGGGGACCAAGCATCTGGACGGCAAGCGGGTGCTCAAGTTGCTGGAGATGTCCAACCTGCGGCTTCTGACCAAGGGGCTCGCCGCAGGCGTGGGCGTCACTTTCACGGAGGCGGCCGAGCACGGGGACAAGCAGTGCTCCGCGGCCGCTGACGAGGAGGTCGAGTCGAACATCGGCTCGATCGGTCCCGCCATGATCGTGTTCATCATCGTGCTGGTGCTCGCGGTCAAGGGCGCAGTTGAGTGCACGAGAGGGGCGGTGCAGCTCTTCTCATCTAGGGCGGCGGGTGCTGCCCCACCAGCGGGAGCGGCGAGGGCTGCCCCGCAGGCCGACGGCACGGCGAGGCCCGAGGCGGCGTCGAAGGACGCGCCTGAGGGGCATGTCGTTTCTCGGGCAGCGGCGATAGCTGCGCCTGAGCGGGTCGCCGAAGGGCGAAACCTCGGTTCGGAGTACTTCGGGAAGATGCTGGCTGAGGCCACCGTGGCAGAGCTCAAGGAGGAGCTCAGGTGGCGGAAGCTGCCGGTGAGCGGCTTGAAGGCGGACCTCATCGTTCATCTGACGAGGGACGGCGGCCAGCACATGGCCAGCAGTGAGGGGCTGGCTGCAGCGGCGTGGGCCGCGCGGCTGGTTCCAGGCAGGGTGCCTATCCGGGCGTTTCGCTCGGATGCGAGCTTGAGCTCGCACCTAGGCGCGCTTCTCAGCAGCACGAGGTAGGTTCAGGCCGGGATGGAAGACCCTCTGAGGGCCACCCAAGACGGGTGAGGACGCGGCACGCTGGCCGCTCCTTTTGAGCCAAGGGCGCGCGTCGGGCGCGGGCGCGCGGGAGCCTCGGCGGGGACGCCCGCTTCGGCTTGAGCTTGAGCCTTCAGAGGGAGGTTCGAGCCGCAGTACAGATGAGAAGATGCGAGACGATGCGCTCGCCTGCATCTTGGAGGCGTGTTGACTGTACATGCTAATCTGTAGCCCCTTGGTCCAAGTAAAAACCATCAACACGGGCCTTGCCGTTGCTCACCCACATGTTGGTTGTGAAGTTGGATTGCCATGTCGACAGCTGCTCAGCGAGTTGCGGCATGCGACGTCGGAGCCCTAGGCCAATCCTTAATACAATTCTGGGCTAAGCGCGCGCCAGACATGAATGCAATTCACTAGCTTCCAGCCCCCTGGCACCGGCCCAGGACCCTCCAAGGAGCCCTAAGCAGTTCGCACGACGCTTCCAAGACATTCGAAGCTCTTCGCACGAGGGACCCGGGTGAGCTCACGTCACTCCACACACGGTCCAATGAAGCCCACAGGTTCACGATTTCTCCAAGATGCCTTCAAGATGGCTCGAGATGGTCCGCAGAGAGTTTCGAAGAGGATGAACTCGTCGAATCCAGAACGACTCGCTAGATGTTTAACCATGCATAAGGATGGCTCCGAAAGCTGCACCAGGGCCTAGGAAGGCTTCCAGCGACTTTGAGGCGGCCCCTGGCGCCTCAGGATCGCCCAGGATGGCCCTGTGTGCCTTCTAACACGACCCCGCCCAGGATAGCCCCCTGGGTGCCTTCTAACACGGCCCCCAAACGTCTCCAAGTCAGGAGTGTAGGATGTTGAAGGCGGGAGGGGGTAGGAAGGGAGAGGGTGGCAAGAGAAGGAGGATAGGCTGGAGGAGAGGGTAGAGAAGGCAGGTGCAGCATCGCCTGATTCAACACGAACGCCCAACCACTCGGGGGGGATCACTCCTTCTTTGGGCCAGGTTACATCAGGATTCTCTGCGTGGGCGGGAGGGGGGAAACACGGAAACAGGGGAACATGTTCACAACAGACACACACACACACACACACACACACCGTGATATCGCTCGCGTGGGCAAGGCTGGGCCATCGGGCGCGCGGTGCCCCCCCCCAGCGCCCCACAGGCCCGGCCCGAAGCAGGTCGGGCCAGCAGATCACTCTTGAGGTCCTCGCGCCGCTCCTTTGGCTGGCGGGGCAGGCGGGAGCAGCGCGGAGGCGGGGCGACCCTGGCCGCTGCCCAGGTCTTACCAGAAGCACTACAAGCGGCTCTGCACCCACCTGCGCGACAGAGGCCCCTGCTCCTCGTGCTCCTCTGGCAGCCTGGCTTCGCCATCCCCGGCCTCCAGAGGTCCTGGCCACGGAGCCGCCGAGCAAAGAGTCCCGGGTGAAGAGTTGGTCCCCTGGATGCTCAGGGGATCCCGTGTGCGAACAGAAGCACGGCGTCGGAGGTCGGGGTCCCTGCCCTCCCTGTCACCTCCTGCTCCCTCCCCCCCTCGTCCCGCCCTGTCCTCCTCCTTCTGAAGCGCCTCCACGCTCGACGAGTAGTTGTACGGCCCTGGCGGGTGACACTGGTGCGGGCGCGGGAGTACGGCGTGCACACGGCCAGCAGCGCTGCCGCGCGCGGCCCGAGAGCGCGCCTGGGCGACGAGAGCGACACAGTCGTAGCCCGAAAGGTCCCCGAAAGGTCTCTCCTCTCTTTTTTTCTCTCTCCCTCTCTCTCTCTCTCTTTCTCTACTCCTCCCCTCCCAACTCGCCGGCCCTCCGCAGCGTGTGCCGGCCTTCCTGGTGCGCCCTGCCCTCTGCCCTCTGCCTTCGGCCCTTCGCCGCCCCCCGGTGGGGGAGAGACCGCCTGCGGCCGCGCAGCCGCGTCCGTGTCCGCAGCCTCCCCCTCCGGGGGGGCCTCCTCCTCCTGCTCCTCCTCCTGCTTCTCCTCCTCCTCCTGCTCCTCCTCCTCCTCCTCCTGCTCCTCCTCCTCCTCCCTCCTCCCTCTTCCTCCTCCTCCTCCTCCTCCTCCTCCTCCTCCTACCCCTCCTCCTCCTCCTCCTCCTCCTCCTCCTCCTCCTCCTCCTCCTCCTCCTCCTCCTCCCCCTCCTCCTCCGCCGCCTCCTCCTGCCCCCGCATTCCGCAGCTGCGCACCCCCCATCGCGGCCCTCTCCCTCTGCCCTCCGCCGCCCGCGTGAGGGTGGAGACCGCCTGCGGCCGCGCAGCCGCGTCCGTGCCCGCAGCCTCCCCCTCTCCGGGCCCCCCGCCCCCGCGTTCCGCAGCCGCGCCTTCCCCATCGCGGGCGCGATCGGCTGCGGAGGGGGGGCTGGCGGCGCTCTCGCGGGGGGAGCGGCGCGAGGCGGGGGGCGGGCTCCGAAGGGAGAGGCAGAGGGGAGCTCTGAGAAAAGGCAGGGGCCGTCCTGGACAGGCCCGGGGCGTTCTGGAGATGGCTCCTCGGAGGCCGGGAGGGCTTCTGTGGGAAACCGTCTGCCTTCTCCCCCGCATGCTTCGACGGCCGCACCCTCGCGCCGCGTCCTCGTGGGCGCCGCCTCGGGGGCGGAGGGAGGAGCCGCGCACCTCGGGCGTGCGCTGCCGGACGCTGCCGCGCAGGGAGTCCTCCCGGAGGGGCAGCCTTTCCGCACGGCAGGCTCGCTCTACCTCGGCGCGGCAGCAGCGCGAGCGCGGGCGCGCCATGCCGAGGCTCTCAGGAAGATTCCCGCGGGCCCCCGGCGGCGGAGGTCGTTCGAGATTGGACGGTCCACGCAGTTCGAGGAAACGCAAACAGCAAACGTGGATTAAGGTGGGCGTGGATCAGCGATGGGCCCCACTTCCATGCGACATCGGCGCGCTGCGTCGCCAAGGCAGGCGGCACTGGCTTGTGAGCGTTTTCTTGTTCGGCGTTTCGACATTGGGCGGAAGGGGGGGGGCGGGGGGGCCTGGCTCCAGACCTCTGCTTAGTGCGACTGTTTGCAGCAGTGCGTCCTATGGGGGAGCCTCCACCTGCGTCAAACAGGCGCCCAAAACGGCCAAGAACTACTCCATGGGGCGGGGGTAAAGGGGCCCGCGCCGATCGGCGAAATGATGAAAAAAACAACATCACCTTCAGGTTCGGGGGCCATTTCCCCGATCCGTTGCCCTGGCGGCCACGCGCCAGGTCCACGGGTCCGTATAATTCATATCAGCGCGTGCCCAACTCGACAGCATCCCCAAAGGCCCTCGCCCCCAGAGGCCACCCGAGAGGTTCCCGGATGCAACGGCCTCGATCCTCGATTCTCGACCTTCGATGTTGGGCCGAGAGGGGAGCCAAGGCTCGAGGAGGGCCCACCTCCTCCTCTTCCCCGCCCTCCCCGGGCTGAGGGCCCCCACTGCTGCCCCCACCCCGCCCGGCATGATCTGCAGCATCCCGAGCTGCTCGAGGTCCTCGACCGACCGGCCTCGCCCTCGTGCAGGCCCTCGCCCTCGTGCAGGCCCTCGCCCTCGCCCTCGACCGACCTCGCCCTCGCCCCCGTGTCGGTCGAGGACGAGGGGCGAGGCCGGTCGGTCTAGGACCTGCACGGGGGCGAGGGCGAGGGTGAGGAGGTCGGTCGAGGGCGCGGGCGGCCGGTCGAGGGCGAGGGCCTGCACGAGGGGCGAGGCCGGTCGGTCGAGGACCTCGACCGCCCCGAACGGCCTCGGCGCAGGGGCGCGGGAGAGCCGCGGGGGTCCGCGGGCGCGGCGCGGAGGCCGCCGCCGCCGCCCTTCCCAGGCTTGCGTCGGGCACGTCCTGCTACAGGAGGAACAGGCAAAAACAGCCTTTAACAACATGGTCTGGGGACGATGTTTTGACTATGTTTGAAACTTGTTGAGCATTGTTTGGCTACTGTCTATGGTTCGGCCAGAACCCCCCTGTAGGAGGACATGCCCGACCTGACCCTAGGCCCCGGCAGCCTCGTGGAGCGCCTGGGCACCCGGCTCGTGGAGCCCGCCCAGGCGGCGTGGTTGTCGGACGACGCGCTGCGAAGCCAGGCGCGCCGCCGCCAGCGCCGCTGCCGCTGCAGGTGCCGGTGCAGGTGCCAGTGCCTGTGCCCGTGCTGGCGTTGTCGTCGTCGTCGTCGTTGCCCTTGTCCTTGCACTTGCCCTTGTCCTTGTCCTTGTCCTTGTCCTTGTCCTCGTCGTCGTTGTTGTCCTTCTCCTGGTCGTCCTCGTCCTCGTCCGTATTGGTCGTCGCGGTCGTTGTCGCTCGCGAAGAGGAGGGAGGGTGAAATATGGGGGGCAGAAGGACGCGATAGGAAGAGAAGGGTCGAGGAGGAGGTGGAGGAGGAGGAGGAGGACGAGGAAGAGGGGGACCGTTGAGGATCGATTTGTTTTGGGGCGTCTCCAGTTCGAGTGGTTACAGCTGAGCCCGCAGGGGTCTCTGGCTCAGGGCGCGCGTGTTCTAGGCGGGGGTGCCAGGTGGGCGCCTCCTATGTCGGACATGGCCTTGTGTCACGAGCGACGAACGTATCCATGTCCACACTCCGTTCGGTCTAGGTCCTGGGGCGCGATCCCGTGGTTATGCGGTCCATGGATGGATACGCTGCGCGCGGGGCATCCGCGAAGAAGATTCCCCGCATCCACAGGGCCGCGGCCCAGGGGCCTGAGGCCCGCAAGGCCGTGCACACCGACACGTTTCTCCGCCTACGACTGGTGCCTGGCCAGGGAGTGTGCGGTTGCAGTGGGAGCGGGAGGGAGCGGCTAAGAGAGGGAGCCTCTGTCGGAGAAGAAAAGACGCCGTAAAGATAAATTTTCAGAGCTCCGCGCGGATGTCTTGGATCCGCGCTGGGCCCCCCCCCGGCGGCGCCTCCGGCGCCGCCCCTGGCGCGCTCCAGCGCAGATCCAGGAAATCCGCGCGGAGGGCCACAAGTGTATGTTTATGGCAATTTGTGTGTTCCTGTTATTTTTACTATTCTTATTCTCTGCTTCTTCTTCTTCTTCTTCCTCTTCTTCTTCTAGAGAGGGGGCTTCTGGGCCGCTCTCGCTCCTCCGCATCCAGTGCGCTCCAGTCTGGAGCAGTTGCTTCGCGTGCCGCGCCCGCGGTTCTGGCCCGCCCTGCCTCCCGCGCGACGCGCTCAGCACGTCCTCAGGCCCCGAGCAGTAAGGGCCCAAGCTCCTCCTCCTCCTCCTCCTCCTCCTCCTCGGCCTTCTCCTCCTCCTCCTCCTCTTCATCCCCCTCCTCCTCCTCCCCCTCCTCCTCCTCCTCATCATCATCATCCTTCTTCTCCTTCTCCTCCTCCTCCTCCTCCTCCTCCTAGCGACACCGTCGCTGCCTGCTGCATGCGTCCTCCTCCTCCCCCTCCTCCTCCTCCTCCTCCTCCTCCTCCTCCTCCTTCTCCCCCTCCTCCTCCTCCTCCTCCTTCTCCTCCTCCCTCCTCCTCCTCCTCCTCCTCCTCCTCCTCCTCCTCCTCCTCCTCCGCCTCCTCCTCCTCCTCCCCCTCTTCCTCCTCCTCCTCCTTCGCCCCCCCCTCCTCGCACCTTGGGCTAGGGACACCTCCGGTCCGGCGAGGCAGAGCGACGCGCCGTCCGCCTGCGGGGCACAGCGTGTCGCTGGGCCCGTCGCCGCGGCACTCTGCGCAGAGCCACTGCGGGTTCGGAAGGGGCTCGCCGTTCCTCGGGTGGTCATTCCGTGGCTGTTCCTCCAGCCCTCCTCGTGTGGCAAGGCCTTTTGGGGTGCCAACAACTGGGGTGTCGTTCTCCAGTCAGCGTTCTTGGTTGCAGCAGCTTGGCTGTAGGTCCTCGGAGCTCCTCCTTCAGAACAGGGGTGGACCTAAATTGTGGTTTGGCGATTTCGTGGGCCCTTTTCGTTTCGATGTCGTTTTGCAGCAAAGGCGGACTTAAGACTCAACGAGGGGCACGACCACAACAACGAACACGAAAAGCACTGTTCAGGTCGAGCCCCGCCCCAGAGTGCACCAGCGTGCGCTGGCGTGTGGTAGTCGATGAGAAGAGCGCCAGCCGTGGCCGGCCTCCCGGCCGGATGGAGGGCAACGGTGGGCTCGGGGCGAGGCCAGGCCCGCCGGGCGGGCGGCCAGAGGACAGGGCTGCCGCTGCTCTCGAGGGCCCGCCGGCACGTGGCTGCTGCTCGGCCTCCTGCACTGCAGGGATGGTGTTCCGTCGGGCCTGTCCCTCTACGGGAGGAATGTTCAAGCATATTTGAAACATGGCCTAGAGATTTTTGTGCGTGACATTTTTTTAACAATGTTTGCATATTTTTGACATTTTGCTTTTCTTTGACAATCCTCCTGTAGGAGGACATGCCCGACCTAAGGCTGGTGGCGGGTGAGCCTTGGAGCCCCCCAGTCAGGGAAACGTAAGACTCGAGTAAGCCAGAACTCGTGTTTGTCGGCGCTCTGTGACGAGGTGCGTCTCGGATTTTGACGGTCCAACTTTCTCGTGGGATGCTTGCAGCGGGAGCTCGCGTCGAACTTCGGGTTGGGTCTCGTCATTGTCATGATGGCCTCGTAAGGCCAATCCGAGTCCCCCGAACCCGAGTTTGTGATCGTTTTTTGATTCATTGTTTTGCCGATCGGCGCGCCCCCCCCCCCCCCCTCCCCTCCCTATGGAGACGATCTTGGCTGTTTTTGGTCGCCTGTTTGGAGCGGGTGGAGTCTCCCCCAGAGGCAGCACTCTTGCAAACAGTCGCACTAAGCAGAGGTCTGGAGCCAAATCCCCCCTCCCCCCCCTATCCCGCCCAATGTCGAAACGCCGAATAAAAATCGCTCACTTCATGTCTCCCTGATCCAGGGGTCTCCCCTTGAGGTTCCTCCCCTCGCCGTTCTCGGCAGCGCGGCCTGGTGCGTCCCGTTGGGTCGCTGGTGGCCGCCCGCCGCGCGGGAGGGGAGCACTGCGGTGTGCAGCTGCGCCTCTCGCGGGCCAGGCTTGGTGACACCCGGCCCCCTCTGGTAGGTGTTCGACCTCGGACTCTCCAGCCTCAGACATGATCGCGCCGTAGAAAAGTCAAGACGGTAAGTTTTTTGCTATTTTCGACCCCTGGGGGCCCTCGCTGGTCCCCTTGTGCGTCAAACATCGGTTCAGGATGAAAAACCGGCCCCTGGGAAAGGGTCTGGACTTTTGGGGACGCCGTACTGAAAAAATCAGGGCGTCGCATGTCTGGGGCTTTTGCGCCGGAGGCCCGCGGAAGTCACCGAAGACCGCCCAAGGCCCGGTCGGGTATAGCCAGGACCCCCCAGGCAAGGGGACCCGGTTAGTGGTAGGGCCCCGGAGCCCCTAAATTGGCTAGAATCACTAAACCAGGTCTGCCGTAGCTGGTGTTTTCTCGGGTGACGGCAGCTCCGGTTAGCGGAACGGGGCGGGGGGGACGTCCCCCAGTACACGTCACGAAACCAGGTCCCACTGAACCCAGTTCTGCCAACACCCGACCCATGGCCGACGGGCAGTAAAGCGGCACGCGTCGAAGACGCAGCCTTTGTGCACTGGTAGGCAGCCCCCCCGCGCACCTCTTGTGGCGGGGGAGGGCCCCATCTCCCAGGTTGCGTATCTCGCCAGGGGAGGGCCGCGCGGCGGGGGCCCGCCGGCGAGGCTGGAGCCCACCTGGCGCCGGGGGTGCTCCCTGGACCCTCGAGCAGGGCTCGGCCGAGGCAGAGCGGTGTCTCGCCGAGGGAGCGGGGCCCCGCCCCCCCCCCGAAGAGGAAAGGGACGCCACAAGCACAAACTGCGTGGCGTTTTTGTTCTTCCTTCTGGCCCCCCCCCCCCGCCAGCCCCCGGACGACGCTGCCCGGATCTTGGAGGAAAAATTGAGAAGAGTCAGACAATCATTAGACATTGTCAAACATGCCCCCAAAAATCGTCCCCAGACGATGTCTGGACTATTTTCGAGCAGTCCTCCTGTAGAGCGACAGGCCCGACTTCACACTCCCCGCTCGCCGCGGGGCCCGTGGCCGAGCCTCTCTGCCGCCTCTGCCCTCCAGGCTGACCATCCCCTGCGGGGCCGAGTCGGGTGGTGCCGCATGGTCTCGCCGCATGGCCGAGGCATCGGCGATGCGGCCAGCTCCGGAGGGCGATGCTCTCCGAGCCGCTGTCGCCGATGCGTCGTCGACGTGTCGGCGATGCAGTGCGGCTCCGGCCCGCCCACTCCCGCTCCACTCCGGGGGCCTCCTGCCCTCCCCTGTCCCCACCACCTTCCCACCACCATCACCACCATGAGTTGGAGGGGGAGGGCGATGAGGACGAAGAGGGGGAGGAGGAGGAGGAGGAGGAGGAGGAGGAGGAGGAGGAGGAGGAGGAGGAGGAGGAGGAGGAGGAGGACTCCTCCCCGGTCCCCGCCACCTCCCCCCCCCCCAGGAGAAGCAGCTGCAGCTGGTGCGGGCGCAGGCCGAGGGGCTGAAGAACGCGGTGGTGGGGGAGGAGGTCCAGGGCACCATCTCGGAGGACGCAGGGCCCCAGCGCGCCCGCTCCCGCCTGCCACGACGGCGGCCGACGGCGCGCCGCAGGGGGGGCGGCGGCCCTGCCCTCCGAGAGGTCGGAGGTCGATAGACCTCCTCCTCCTCCTCCTCCTCCTCCTCCTCACCCTCTCTGCGCGTGGCCGAACCTCCTACCCTGACACGTCGATTCAGGACTTGGCCGTTTTTGGTTCGCGAGAATGCGTCGCGGTCGTCAGTTTTTGCGCGTCCAAGTCCGTTGGTTTCGGTCCTAGGCCGTTCTCACTAAGGGGAGGTTTACTAAAGGGAGGTTTGTCCACCGCCGAAGAGGGCCGGGAGAGGCTCCTCGGGAGGGAGCGGACGCTCCTGGGAAAGACTCCTTCAGATGATGAGGATGAGGGTGAACCAGGATGAGAAGGAGGCTCCTGGTGCTGCTGCTGATGCTGCTGTTGATGATGCTGATGATGATGATTATCACGATGATGATGGGGATTACAGTGGTGGTGATGATGATCACGATGCTGATGATGACGATGATGATGACGATGATGCTGATGGTGGTGATGATGCTGATGACGCTGATGATGGTGCTGCTGATGATGGTGATGCTGATGACTATGCTGATGATGATGTTGATGATGATGTTGATGATGATGGTGATGCTGATGGTGATGCTGAGGGTGATGGTGATGGTGATGGTGATGGTGATTGTGATGATGATGCCGACGATTGTGATGACGATGGTGATTCCGATTTTCATTGTGATGGTGATGGTGATGATGGTGATGATGACGATGCTGTGGCTGATGATGATGGGGATGAGAATGCTAATGATGATCGTGGTAGTGGTGGTGGCGTTGGTGATGATGAGGACGACGATGATGATGATGGTGATGATGATGCTGATGATGCTGATGATGATGGTGATGGGGATGCTGATCATGCTGATGATGGCGATGTTGGTGATGCTTATGATAATCATGATCATGTTGCTGATGATGTCAATGATGATGATGCTGATGATGATGACTCTGATGGATCCTGGTGATGGATGCACGGGTGTATGGATTCATTATTGGATTATGTTGGTGAGGATTATTTATGGTGTTAATCTGGATGACGATGATGGTGGTGTTGGCGGTTATAGTGGTGCTGATGTGGGGGTGGAGGAGGACTTGGATTAGGAAGAGGGGGAGGAGGAACGTTGAGGAAGAGGAGGAAGAGAAAACTAGACGTAGGAGGAGGAGGAGGAAGAGGACGGTGAAGGAGGAGCACGTAGGAGGAGAGGTCGTAATGTCTTTTGCAAGGACGTAGTAAGACCTATTAGGACGAGGGACGACGTAGGAGGACGTAGGAGGTCGCTGCGCATGAAGGCTCAACGCGTTGTAGACGAGCCCAACACGCACCACCCGATTACCACTGTGCACTCAAATGTTGCTTGTACATCCAACCTCCAAGGGTGCTTGAGTCAAGCAAAACGTACATGCAGAAGGCGAGCCTCAAATACCCTTACACAAGAAAACTATTATCATCTACATTCCTTGGTGCCGTCAGCAATCCAAAGGCGGATGAAACCGATTCTGTAGATGTGTTTACCAAGCGGGTCCAAATCGGTTCCGAAAAAGTTGCCAATCAGGCGTGGACAAGTTGGCGCACGCTGGACTTTATCGAGCAGAGAAAAACTGCACGGAATGCTGGGGACCATAATTGAGAGAGATGATTAAACAAATGGATCCAGGAATTTGGAGTTCAGCATCGCAAATATTGGTGGTTGGGAAGCGATGCGCCATTCGAACAAGCCGAAATCTACACGCGACGGTCAAGCTGCCCGATGGAACACTCACAGGCACAGCTGCCCGAGCACATGCATCGGCTGTTCAATTCCGAATACGCACGATGGCAACTCGGGTTCCTGGAGGTTGCCCTAGAGTCTCGTGAGCCCGAAGGACACCCGCTGCTTGTCGGCACGGAGGCATTCACCATAAAAGAGTTGATCGATGTGTTGCGCTGGTCTCGTCTTGGTAAGAAGGGCCTCTGCACCCTCGTCCGCAGCGGTTGCAACGTGGAGCCGCTCGCCGTCGGAGGCCTGGCCGGCGGCCTCTCCGAGCTACGCCTAGCGCGAGAGCAAATGTACAGGGCTCAATTGCACTTTTGGGGCCTGCTTTGACGACTGCAGGTGCCTGGGCGGCCTGGGCAATCACCAGTATACTACCGTATACTTTTCCATCAACACGATGTGGTGGGTGCTCGTTGTGGCGCAGCTGCGGGAACTGATGCACGTCGTAGCAATGCCATAGTGCGGCGGCCTCTCGACACTCTTGTCCTGGTAACGCCTTTCCTGACGGCCAACGTTCTAGTCTGGCCCGCTGCGGTCTGGTGCCAGCGCAGTTGGGCGGCGTTCATCGCGTCATTGTTTAGCAATCGGAAGATCTTCTTATTTGTTGAGGGTCGACGCCGTTGCTACTCAAACGCTCGCAGACACGCGGGCCCACAAGCCTATCACGCTGAAGCTCGCCCAATCGGTCTCAGCCTCTCCTGGCTATCAATCGCATGGCTTTGCCACCACTGAAGTGGATAGAACCTGGCGCTGGTCTTTCTGGGCGTCGCCGCGGTGCCAAGCAAGCTGTGCACCTCCCTTTGCAGCCTTCCGAGTCCGACTCCCAGTTTTGGGCGTTGACCTTCTTATCCTGCGTTTTCTCTTACACGAATGAGAGCGACGAGGCGTCGGAATGCCCTGAATGGGGCTTCAAGGTGCCATCTTTGTCCGAGCCCAAGGATTACTGTGGGACCACCGTCTTGGACCCGCACGACCCTGGACATGCAGGTGCCCGTCAGCATACCAACAACGTTCGCGAGTTAGCTGCGCCATTGTTTGCATTGTCTTCGATTCAACAATGCATATCATCATTTTCTTCCTCCTCCTCTCCTCCTTCGGCGATAGCTGTTGAATGCTATTCAGAGTGCGCGGCGGTGGTGGCCAGGCGACGCATCCGAGGGAGGGCGGATTGTCGACTTGTGCTTCAGCTTCGCCCTATTTGCGATCAGGTTGCGCGCCATAGGATCTTCGGGAAACTTGGAAGCCATACCGGGGCATTTCTGAACGAGCGAGCTGATCAGTTTGCGGACTGTGGCGCCAGTGGAGTCGTATGTGGCCTAGCGGATTCACATCGCTCGGCGCGCGCATCGAGCAAACAGTTGGATTAAGAGGGCAGGTGACCCCTGTTCATTTTCATTACGCGTCTTGGTAAGGCTGCTGGGCCAGACGACGTCTTCCCAGTCTTCTGGGACACTTTGGTTTCGAGCCGGGGCGGTGTTGGGAACGCAAGTCAGTGCCAGAGTCTTCCAGGCGCGCGAACGTAGCTCCCCGAGAAAATGGGTTCTAGTGTCCTAAAATTACAGACCCATATCACTGTTACGAGGTGGCTACACGGTCATTGCTTCTATGTTGCTTCAGCGTCTGATCCGTGATGGTGTTGAAATCGTATGCGCATATTTCAATATGGTGGGACAACCGACGCGTTCATGCTTGTGCGGCACATGGCCGGCGCGGCACAGAACAACACACATGGGTGGTCTCATCAGCTTGATGTTGGATTTGTCCAAGGCGTTCGACAGGATCCAACCAAACGCATGTGTGAGATTTGGCGCCGGTGCGGGTTTCTTCCAGATATGGTGGCGGTGATTCACACAATGTCGCCGAACGTTACCCTACGATTGTGAACCACGCGGGGGAAGCTACATAACGACGACAGATGGCCTGTATCGCTCAAGGGTGCCCTCTTTTTCCGCACGTTTATTATGCAGTGACGTTCATCCTGTTGCATGGTATTTTCGCAACACGGGTTTCGATGGTGTTTTTGTTTTCGAAGTGATGTCCGGCATTCTTTACGCTGTTGACACGCTGCTTGTCCGGAGTGGCAGACAGAGCATGTATCTAATGATGGATGCAAGCATCGTGGAAAAGGCAGGGGTACGGAACTGAGTTGAGTTGAGACAAGATACTGCAGGAGCAGACTTCAACGAATGATTCGGCAATCCGACCGGATGCGGGCCCCATGCAAATTGCCAGCGAAGCGGCGTACTTGGTCGGGCTACTTACTTGCGATGGTGAAGCTGCGCCGGAGGTCGCTCTGCGCTTCGGCAAACCACAGCGCATGTGCAAACAGCTCGCAGTGCTGTGGTCACATACGGCACTTGGCTAGAAAAGGAAATACAGCATGTGCGTCATCTGCGTGTGTGGTAAAGTGTGGTACTTGTTTGTCTCTATCTCTCTTTCTCTCTTGATGTTGCTAGCTGCCCGAAGCAGGCTTGACGCGTTTCACTTTCAAAGCTTGCGGCTCATATTGAGTACAAAGCTTTCTTTCGTTTCAAGAACGGAGAGCGCATGCGTCGTAGAGAGGGCCCGCACCGAGCCCCTCCCTCAAGCATTGCTGGGCAGTCGGGGAGAAGTCCACCACAAAATCATCAAATGGGCATGTGTCCTTCGTGCGTCACGCCGGGTGGTACGCCAAACACTTGGTGGAATATCGCCGCCGCGTTGCGGCTGGCCGAGGCAACAATGGAGTTTTGAAGTGTACACATCGTGTCAACGTGTCCAACCATCCTGCTTCCATGCCAATTGTATGCTCTGTCCCCTCGCTTCCCTTCGTTTGGCTTTGCAAGTCCGCCGTTCGGCTGCCTCCGCCTTCGCCCCCCTTCCGATCCTCCACAAGAGCATGCTATGAATACTACTACCCTTCTCCTCCGACGACCCCGAGGTCGTAGCGCGCCCCCCTCTCCGCGTACTGTTTTTTACAAATAGGATCCCCTGAAGGTGAGCGATCAGATGTGTTATTCCCATCCGAACGTTTTCGGTATTTCCAGACGTGCACACCCGCTACAGCGTTGGCTCCATTCTCTGGGTTTTAGCACTTCCGCGCCATACTCCCGCAGCAGCGCTGACCTTATTTCTTTGTTGCGGATCTTCCAGGTCGTGTTCCCGTTGCAGCGGTGGCTTTCATTTAACGTTCGTGATTGCTTGTAAGTTGTGCAACCTGGATGTTGTCGGTCCTTCCAAACATGCGTTCTGGTTTCATGTCAAGTTTCATTTCCGCATGTCCGGCTCTTCCACACTGGTTCCCCATTTCATCGTTGTCTCAATTTCCGTGTTCCCAGCCAATTTGGCGAGGATATTTCCGCCATGAGAAAGGATAGGCGGGAGGAGTATGACGTCCGATATGACGCGGGTGTGCCTAACTTGCCCCCCCCCCCTCTCTCTCCTCCGCCCTCTCAGTCTCCAGTTCCTCGGTCTCTGCCTTGGCAACGGTCTTTCGGCTGAAACTCATATTTTGATTTTCGTTCGGCAGCCTTAAGCGGTTTCGTACCAGCGCGTCCTGGTGGATGCGCGGTTCGAGTAGTGGTGCCTGTTGTGTTGTTGTCTGTAGAAGACTGTTTCGACATCCGGGTCGTATCCGCGATCGTTGTTTCTTGTCGTTTCGCGAGGTGCGCGTCGGAAACGCGTAACGTATGGGCGTTGCGGAGTTTTTTTTTGGCTTTGTGGAGGCCTCGAGGATGCGTGACAATGCAGGGTTTTCCCAGGGATCTCTTGGGGACATGTTGGCCCGTGATGGGGGCTTCTGGCTGTCTTGAAGGCAGTTTGGGCCGACTAGGGCCCCTTGTGCCGAGCATTTTCTTTGGGTGGAGGGCAACGGGTGAAGTCTGAAATGCCGTTTCGATGGATTCTCGAGGCTTGAATCTTCAAAAGGTGAATCACAAGATGGATTGTTTTTCGAGGTGCACAAGCCCCTTCTGGATTCCACCCTGATCCCTCCACCCTAAGAAAATGCTCAGTTGCAGACGTTGTTGAAAGTTCGGGGGGCGCTTTGGAGCCCCCCGAAAGGCGGAGAAACGGCCGCGACACTCGGGGTGAAGGCGCCGCGAGTCCGGGGAGGGGATACAGTGCGGTTCGGGAGGGGGGCGCCGTGCGGCTGAAGAGGATTGGGCTGTTTGGGCGCAATCTTGGTGGCCTTTGCGGCCGTCTTGGGCTGCCGAGCATGCGGAAATTTGTGAGAACTTGCTGGCAAATCAATGAGATTATATGATTATTCCTCTCTGAATGCCTTCTTGGAGGCCCTCTTGGGCCGTCTTTTGGGGGGGGCTCCTTCGCCGTCTTAGGGGCCACTCGTGTCCATTTTGGAGCTATTTGGGGACATCTCTGAGCTTGCTTGGGTCGTCTCGAACCTTGGCGAGGACAGAGAAACAAAAACCATTCTTTCGATGAAAACACGGTCGGGGTGACACTGGGGTGATGTCTAGCTGACCGGGGCCACTGATTTGGGTTACTCGTTCAGTCGCGTCTCCGTTTCGTTTGCTTGGACCTTTCCGGGCAGTCCGCACACAAAATAATGCATCGATTCCCATTCCGCCGGAGAAAAAACACAATCAGTGGATGGTTTGATAATTCGTAATACGGATATTGAGATCGATTGCGGGATCGATAGTGAGATCGATAGTCCATTGATTCCCGTTCGCTTCTGTTCGGGGGGGGAAGGGTGAGATTCAGATCCACGTGCGGATGGCGACGTGCGGAGCGGCAGCGATTCTTGCGAAGGCGAGATTGCTACACATCCTGCGTGCTCAATATACTGACATGTCACACCATCTGATGTTACTTCCTATTCTAATGTAGCACCACTTGCCCTCGACCTTGATGGCGGCCCGCTTCTGGGGCTCAAGAACCTATAGAAACCAGCAGCAAATGACCAACCAAAGCAAGCAGAACATTACATGCTTTTGCCTCTTGGGCTTCTTGGGTGTACAAGAGGGCCTCGGGAGGGCTCAAGATGGCCCCAAGACGGCCCAAGATGGACCCAAGACGGCCCAAGATGGCCCCCAGGGGGCCTGAAAAGTACCTCCAGATGCCAATTACGTTTATGGTTCATTGGTTTGGGATAGTTTTTGGCGCTCTCGTCTTTTTGGACTCTCGGGGGCATATGACGGCACAAGCAGCCTCCATGACTGCCCTAAGACAGTCCAATAGGTTGCCAAGAAGGTCCCGAGATTGCTTAATAATGCCCCAAGCTGGCCCAAGGAGGACCCCAAGACGGTCCAAGAGGCTCCCACAACGGCCAAAGGGGACCCCCAGAGGGCCCGAAGGCTGCCCCGAGAGGCCCCCAAGACGGCTTCCGA